AATATTTCATAATTACATCTAAAATTCTGAACATTGATATTTAATACAATACAGTTATTTGGGGAATTTGTCAGTAAAAAGTATAACTATATTTAACATCAGCAGAATCCATAAAAAATGTAGTTTAATCAAATGTTAATATGGCTACCTAGCAAATTAGGTATATGACTTAAAAATTGCTTTTACACTTATGTGTTTTATTTTTTATTTATTGAATGTTCTAATTTACAAACGTATACTGCATTTACTTATGTTATATGTTTTAAGAGTAGATTAGGTACAAGCGTTGAAGCGTATCTACTATTTTAGAAGAACAACGCCACTGAGGTAACTTAAAATATATAACTATACAAACTTATAGAATAGTATAAATTATAAAATTATAGTATACGAATATTTAATAAATAATACGCAATACAAAATTGACACTTGTATATTTAACAATTATGAAAGTCACCGGGTACTTTGTATTACAAAGTGTTACTCAATACTCGTATTTATAGTTAAATAAATTCATGTATGCTATAAGTTATTTACTATATTAATATATTATAATAATATAGTATAGAATGCAGTAATTCGTTAACTCTTGAAGGTAGGGAGAGGGGATATTGAAAAGTTATATACAAAATAAAACACATGAGGAAGTATTTATTTTAATTTACAACAGTAATTTGATTTGTCTTGGCTTTTTATCCACTTAATTTATCATGATTACCTATTATATTATCTGCCACATTGAGTTCTACATTTATCGGTATGTTTTTATGTTTTTATGCAGCTAGTTATCGCAAATACAAACGTAAATTCCAACGGAATAAAACATAATTATTTTCCAATTTGTAGATTGGTAAAATAATAAATTTAAAAAAAAATTGTATTATAGGAAATCTATTCCTAATTTGAAGTTGGTACACCATGAGTCTGGTTCAACGCTTTTGTATAGCAAAATATTGTCTTCTGAGGCATCAATGTCAATATTTTACCCATCACAAAATAATATAACATACTCGTAATACACCATAATCATTGTTATACTCAAATTACATGTTTAAATACTAAAAATAAGATAATCGGCTCAGTTAGCTTACAAAGATCTTAGTTAGATCTTAGATGGAATAATAGTACTTCAATTATTATAGAATAACATCACATAAATTGAACTCGTATAAATATATTATAGTCTGTAATATTAGACGGATAATTATTTATTTAAAGACAATTTCAACTGTTCACAATAACATTAACAAAATGCCTACATTTATAGGCTTCCTACTGAATTAGACAGATACTATGCGTAAGTTTACATTATATACCTTTACAACAAGTTGAAGCTATCTATAAGATCTATATAGATTCATATCAGGAATGGTTCCAAAGACTAAAACCTCTCCCCCCTTCAGAGCTGATACTACACAGTACATACATTTATAATTTCACATTTTTTTAATGAAATATTTTATCTTATATAAGTTTTAAGAATGCACAAGATAAATATTTGTATTCCATAAATTTAATTTGACGTACCCCCTCCCGCCTCCAAAAAAAACCCATCCGATCTTTGCTCTGGGTCAGCCTAGAATAATCCGTGCATCCAACTATTTTAATTCACTATATAAACTTATAATATAGGCTTAGAACAGATAATATTAGAAACAAATTATAATAGACGTATTTCGTGGTTTTACTACCGATATGATAATTTATTATTGTCAAGTTTTTTTTTTTGTTTGTATAACCTACCTTGTTTGAATTTTAATAAATAAATTTAGTTTTCGGCCAGTGGGTGTACGGAAAAAAAGAAACTTCATGAGAACAATCTTATCGCACAAAGTCGAGAAACTGGCACGTCTTGCCAATATTTCCCTTAAAACTTTTCGCGTGTCCTTTTGTGCTGTTGGAGTCGTTCCAAAATAGACACACAGCAGACACACATACACACACACTCACACACTTTATACGATGTTGGCATTTTATAATACGTCATATAACATAACTGAACTGTTGTGTTCCTTTTTATTTTGCTATAATAAAATGTAAAAAATAAGAAACGAGCGTCATGTTGGGTAAGAGAAAGCAGTGCCATCATCATATAGTTAACAGTCAATGTGCCGGCAACCCTGTAAAAAAGTTAATTTTTACTCGTAACCTATATTTATGTACTACACAGCACGCGGTTCGATCACTTTATAATTATTGTTTTCGATAATCCTCCTCCGCGGCATTCTTAAATTTAATGATAAATGACAATCATATTGAATAAAGTATAAGACTCGTAACAACTAACACATTTTTTTAAATGAATGTATTTTTTTTTTTTTTTACTCACGTGGATTTCCAACCGTTATCTCTGCTGTTGACACACCAGCGCACTCGCACAAATTCGATTACCGGTTATTTAAACGAATGACGAACCTTCAGGATGCGAACGGAACGTTTACAGGATCGGGTCACAAAAAAGGCCATAGAAACAAAATTTTAATTATAAAATGTTTTCGGTGGGAAAAAATAATAAAACATGAAACCAAATACGAATATCGCAAACGAAACGCACCGCAACAGTCGAACGACGTAGCGCGTGACACACGGAACTGTCGCGGTGGCGGCCAAATACCGAACAACGTGGTCATCAGGGGGTGTGGAGGGCGCGTGCGCTGCCTCATCATCCCTCTGTCAGCGATTCGCACATGCATACTCGTGCCGCCATCTGTGTCGAACATCATTCGAAACTTGAACTATGACGATAGGACTGACTAACTTAGCGCCTAAATGTATGATTATTATCTATAATTATAAGCTTTCATAGGAAACTGACTATGGTTCGATGAGAAATTCATTTATGAAGAAAAAATATATCATGGTTTTATTCTTTAGATGCGTTCAGTAATGCCTAGTTTACAAAATGAAAAGAAGAAAGCACAGAAAGCGTCACATATGTATTATACTAATATTATTTGCCTTATTTAGTTCAACCGACAGTTGGTGGCCTCCAATCACTAGTCAAGTCCTAGTATAATGCATTTACCTATGGCCTAGGTAATGGGTACAATTTTCGGATGCCTTTCCGTTTTCTTTCCAAATCGTAGTGTTAAAGTGTTTTAATTTTATATGTAACATGTAAGTTACATAAATGGAATTATTAGTTATTTATTTATTGGATTTAGGTATCAGAATATATTACGGTACCTATTTAGCTTCCATCACAACATAAGTACCTACTGCATTTATAGATAATTTAATTTTTTTTTTAATGCATTTATATGCTGGTGACCCTTTCTATTTTTCAGAGGGTATCATATTATACCCTCTCCCCCCTTTGACTTATTTTTGTAGTATAAATGATAAAGCAATGAAAGCATATTTACTGTTATATAAAGTGCATGGTCTATGAAGAACCTTGTATTCAATTTTAAAGCCTATAGTTTTATGAAATTTGAACGTTTTATACATTTTTAACTACCAAATAATTTGCAAATCTCCAGGATTTTAATTAATTTTGTAGACATTTGAACTTCAAATGTGAATAAAAAAAATCATGCAAAATCATTTCCATAAAAATTGATTTTGTGTTTTAGTGTAACTCCAAGACTATAATAACCGCGTATATATATAATATATACGCGTATATACTTCAAATGTTCACCAATGGTTTATTTAATAATTTTCTAAGCGTGATGCAATTCATTTACGATCATTTTGAGCTATTTATACATTTTATAGACACTTGAAATGTTCAATGTGTTTTAGTATGATAATTTTTTTGTTAGGTCAAAAAGCTCGAAAATATTTAATTATTCAATACCAGATTCCTCTTAAGTTGTTTTAATAACAGTTAAAAAAATATTAAAGACTTAAGTATGATGGTAAGTATAAGCATTTAAAGTTCGAATTTCGGAAAAATTAGATAATTAAACGAAGAATAACAATTTTAGTTATTTTGTTGAAATTTAAAAATATTGTTTGTGGGTACTTGACACATACTTTTATGTACATATTGACTTTTAGAAACTTTTTTAGCAAATAGTAATTCAACCGACTGTATACACTATGCCTAACTAATATTTATAGTAGTAAAATAAATTACTTCAATAGCAATAATATCATTGAATACATTTAGTAATACAAACCGTCATCGCTCATAATTGTTTTTCGTTACGATTTTTTTATATCATTGAATTAAAATTTAACAAACACATACATTACAGTGACCCTTCCTGGCACTTAATATTTAGCAGCTAGAGCCCAAGTATATCACTAGCCTACATTTTTAATGTTATAATATAAATATATAATGTACTAATTATAGCTATGTCAGATGTCTATTGAAACATTTTTGAGTAATAGCAATGAGTACAGAGTGGTCGGTATTTGGCTTTTATGTATAGATATTAAAGATTAAAAAAATGTTCACTATAAAGTATTATAATGTCTACAGTACTGCAATAAAAAAAAAACAAAGCAGTATGGTATTGTGAGTTGGGGACACAGCCAAACACTGACATTTATTTAAAATCTCATCCCTCCCCCCCCCCAGTACAAAATCATAACTACACCACAGAATAGGTGAATTTAACCTATCCTGTGACTACGCCACTGGTTCAATGTTCCAACTAATTCCAATTTGCTACTTACCAAAAACGACAGTCAATGTTGAAAATCAAAGCATTTTGTCTATTATCGTGTACACTACAAGAAGCTCTGCTCAGAGTCGAAAACAAACATGAATAATAAGTATTTCAATTTTAATTAATTATAGGTGTAGGTAAAATACGTTCAGTGAATATGTCTTGTATTTTACATTTAAATTTGCCTAGTTTTACAGAGTGACCATAGTGTGCAAAAAATAATGTTGTTATTGGAAAATATCTTTTCATCTTTCCATCCCATTTTTGTAAATGAAATATTGTGGAAGTGTGGTAACCGCGGTTAAGATGTGGTAACATTATAGAACAGAACAAAATAACATGAAATCTAATTTTATTGCACGTAGATATCAGTGGTACAATCCATAAAGTAAAATTTACCATAACACCTATTACCCATGACCACAGAACTATAACGTAACTTAATGTAGAATAATAAACTTTATTCTCATAATAATCTTATCATAGATAAGTGATCTTGTAATCGCAAATCGCAAGTCGCACATTTCGTAATACATTTCTAAAAAAATGTTGAAGAGTCGTGAAGCCAAAGAATAAAAAAAAACTGTAAGGTTGAAAATGAATCATTTATTAATTATTATTTTGTCATTTCTCACTCACTGATCATTGATATAAGATATGTGTTGTATTTTGTATTATTGTGTTATGTGTATCAAAGTATTATATTTATAACCGTTTAATGTATCATAATGTTTCTTAGTTCTTAGCTATCTTATTTCTCTATTCGGCGAATATGTTAATTTATTTATTCAAAATGTTGGTATTTTAATGATAACATGCAATACATTGTAAAGTTATTTTCCCATTTTCAGAATGTTAACGAAACTATATAAGTGAATATAATTATAATGAATCGTAATATGGGATCAAAATTCTATAGTAATAATATCGAAGAAAACGATGGAGAAACTGACAATTATATTACATGTCCTTTATTACAACTAAAATATTCTAGGCCAAGAAAACCAATCACAAGGTATGTTAGTGTTATACGTTTATTGGATATATTATATTATATTATGAGGTATCTAAGTCTATTATAATATGATGACGAATTTACCTACCTAATAAATCTAAGTCTTAGCCGATTTATTGAATTTTCAAACATATGACATCATGTATAAACAAATATTTTCCCCAATACAATTGGAGATTTCAGATTATATAATAATTTTGGTATTATGAACATTGCCCCATAGGTCATAAACATACTTAACATTGTGATTCTTTCTTATAAACTATCTGTGATATAGTAGAATACTAGAACTGAATATATAAGTAAAATTGATTTTGGTGATAAGATGTAGTAGGTACCTGCTTACATCTTCTCCTCTTCATTATGTTAACAAATTATTGTCTTTTTTGTAACATTGGTTTCATTAAACATTTTAAGTACCTATATAGAGTAGTACTAAAAACTGTGTGTAATAACCTTTGATCTCAACACAACTTTTAAAAAAAATCAAACAATTTAAATATCCATTATAGCTAATTATTAAAAAAAAAAGCATTTATATTTGCCATAATATGTACTTATTAGTCTGAATTATTTGTATACTTCTAGAATTGTATAATATGCTTATTATATATTTTACTTAATTTATAAGTTTTTAGTTGTTTTTTTTTTATTCTTTGTAAAAGGGTTGATACCCGTTAATAGATACATAACATACATAAATCAATTATTTGCAATATTTATAATACTATAGAATTTCAATTCATCAACATTATTAATTATTAATTGTTTTTTAATTTTTTAATTATTTTTTTTAGTCGTTTGGGACAAAAAGCAAGTTCTTTAAAACATAATAATGATAACCAGGCTTTATTTGAAAATAAAACAGCAGATGCAGATTTGGGATGTACATTTCAAATACGAACACCTAAAAAATTAGTTAATAGTTTTGAAAAACTTGATTTAGTACAAAATACTCCATTTTTTCGTCCAGCTATTAAAGCTCAAAGTCATAGTAATATAGATACTCCTTGTGATACATTTACTTACTTAAACAGAAATACTGTTCGTAAATTAAATTTCAAACCAGCTCTTCCATTAAGTACCAAGCGATCATTATATAATAACAAAGAAAATTTACCCGAACACTCAAAAGAAGAACTGAAACTAGGATCCAAAATATTGACACAAAGTAATATTAGTACAGCTTCTTGTTCGATTACTGTAGAAGAAAATGTTAACGAAACAGCAAGCAAAGTACCTGTTGTCCTAAATGATGATACATGCAATACTTCACCTGAAACATCAAAGTTCAATTATGATACTAGTTTGTATCATAGTATCAGAGAAACAACTTCTTTACCGAAGTCATTATTTTTTTCTTTTTCTAAAAACAATTCCAATTCTTTAGTTGATTCTTCCTTATCAACAAAACAGTTAGAATGCCAACCTTTGGATGCTCATTCTAAACATACTACACCAGAACTAACTCCTATAACTAAATGTAATAATTTTGTTGTACGTGCTCAATCTACATGTATTACTCCTGTATTCGCTCAAGATGAAGAGCTTAAACAACCAATTAATTTACCAGGTAGTGTGTGTATTAAATGTGCCCATGAAAACTTCATATCTGTTAAAGGAATCAAGTATAGTATACTTAATACACTGGGACATGGAGGATCTAGTATTGTACATGAGGTATATTATCTATTCTTTATTCTGTTTATATTTTATAAATTAATTGTTTAATTTATTTAATTAGGTCTTACATCCAGAAACTAATCAAGTGATGGCAATAAAAAAAGTAGACTTATCTGAAGTTGAAAATATTATTGCCAAAGGATACTTAAACGAAGTCAATTTGTTGCAAAATTTGCAAGATTGTGAAAGTGTTATACGTTTATTTGACAGGTAGATAATAATTTGAAATGTTTTTTTTTAATCTTATAATTCAGTTCCTTTAATTTATCAACTAAATTAAATTCAAATAACGACATACAAATTAATTTTGTCAGTCAGTATAGTATCAATGAAAAGATTCTTTACATGGTAATGGAAAAAGGTGACACAGATCTTTCAAAGCTCATCCGTTGTACAAAAAATATGTCGGTTCACATGATTATGTACTATTGGACAGAAATGTTGACCACTGTTAGTGAAATACATGCTAAAGGTAAATAATACATGACATTTTATAATACTTAGGTATATGACACTAAGTTTTTGGGTACTATCAAATTATATTTTTATGTATTTAATAGACATTTTATAACTAAACATTTTAAAAACATTTATTTTTAATATTAAGTTTAGGTATTATAAAAATATTATACTATATAATTTATTTTAACATTGTTTATTTTTAATCTCAAATTATAATAAGAAAAATAAGAAAAAATAAATTAATATACAAATTACTATAGGTACTGAGATACAGACAAAACATATGATTCAATCCCTAATCAACTTCTAATAATATTTAATAATAAATTATTTAATGATAAAGCCATCTATATAAAAAAGTATTAAGTATTAAATTTTAATTTTTCAATAGGTGTTATTCATTCAGATCTCAAACCTGCAAATTTCCTTTTGGTTAGTGGTCGTTTAAAATTAATAGACTTTGGCATTGCATCAAAAATACAAGGTGACATGACAAGTGTATTAAAGGATGTGACTACTGGAACTTGGAACTATATGAGTCCAGAATGTATAAGAAGTGGGGGCTCTAATTTTGAAGGCCATAAAGTGAGATGACAAACTATATAGATAACACTAATAAAAAATATTTGAAAAATCAATTTTTATATAGATAAACCAAAAATCTGATGTATGGTCATTGGGATGTATATTATATAGTCTGATTTATGGTAATACTCCATATTCACATTTGACAAACACCTGGCAAAAGTTGCAATCCATTGCTGAATCAAAGCAAAATATTAATTTCCCCAGTCATAGTAAGGTATTTACTCAAGGTATACCATCAGTACTTAAGCAAACAATGGAGTTATGTTTGATAAAAGATGTTAAAGCCAGACCTTATGTCATTGATTTGTTGAAGCTTATTGAAGATACAGTATTTAAACCTATGACAGTATGAACTTACATTTTTTTTTGTTGTTTTAATCATGTAATTCTATATTTATCTAAAATGTTCAAACATATTTTGTTTTTGTTTTTTATTCTGGGTATTTATCTAAAGCAGACCAATATTAATAAGTTTATTATGTTATTTAATTAATAATTATTATATTATGTAAATGGTTTTTACTCTTTAATTTTTATTGCTCTTAAACATTTAAATGTTATTGAAGTAAGCTAAAGCATCAGATACATACTAATTGAATTGGTAGGTAACAAAAGTATTAAGGAAATTATCGATATTAATATATTATAAATTCATAATAATATGGTAATACTGACAAAGAATATTTTGTATTTTTACATTTAAAAAATAAAAATTATATTAATATATTTTAAAAATTCCTTATTCCAACTTTTCATTTTAAGTTATATGATGGACAGTTCACTGTGTTATTAAACATTTTTTCTATATAACTTATTTGTTTTTATTTTGCATCAATATATTTTATACTCATACCATTCTACATACAACCAAAAAGTCAAAATATAGATGAGCATTCAGAGTATTTAGATGCAAAGAAAATTGTAATTAATTAAGTTACATTAAGATTAATATAAGGTTTCACGTCAATTCTTATTCTAATTAAAAAATACAATGGCACAACATTTTTTATACTTTCTTGATTTTTATTAGTTCATAAGTGGCTTGGCGTGGCAAGTTGGCTGCTACCAGTCGCGAAATGTGACTGGGAGTAAGTAACGGCCACACATACACGTGTTTGCTACCTACCGTAACAATCGTAAAAACAACCTACTATACCAACCTTACCCCTGACACAGTTCATAACCCCTACAACACCTAAAGGCCATAGTCGCTGGGCTTAAGTTTAATAAAAAAAAATAATAAATAAAAATAGTTCATAATATGGTGATTGGAATGAAAAAAATCTGAATTTTGAAAACTTTAAAAGTTTGTGGTAAATAGGAAAAATATAAGTCAGTAATAATAAATATGTGGGTAATTAAGTTAGATTTTATGCAGGTACCATATTAATGAGATGGATCCGATGATTCCCAAGCAATATAATGAATTGAACCCGGACAAACGTTGTCCTATTCGGCTCTGAAAACTATTTTATAACTTTTCTCTTATCATATGATTACTAGAAAGTTGGTTAATAGCTAATTAAAAAGGGCTAGACAAGCACCTGGATACTAAATCCTAAATTAAAAAT